TAGGAAAATACTAACTTGTCTTATGCTATGTTAAATTAAGGAAATTATTGGATAAAAACCCCATAACTATGGCACAAGGTTTATTTAAGTGTAAATTTATTCTATACTTCAGTGGTTCCCAACCATTGGTCCTCCAGGTGTTTTGGACTTCAACTCCCAATATTCCTAACAACTGGGAGTTGAAGTCCAAAGCACCTGAAGGACCAAAGGTTGGGAATTGCTATACATAATACCTTCTTACACCAAACAATTGCTTAACAAATGGTATCAAGAATGGGAAAAACATTAAACCGAACAGTTGCTAAGAGGCTAATATTATACAGATATTTAGAACAATGAACTGATGTAGCAAGGGGCTTGGCTTCTGTCTGGCTCATGTCTGGCTATCCTTCCTTCAAGCATTTCATCATTATCATTATAGTTTATATCTGCAGACCTAATGATTATTATCCAGGGAAAATGATATCTCTAGGAATTTGGTATCTCCTCCGGGGGTTCTATGTTATATTGCCTCTGGAAGTTGCCGCAGAGTTGCATTGGCAGAACTGTCTAGGAATCAACTAGGTCCTCTTGATCAGCTCTTTTGGTATTCTGGGTCTGGACATAAGGTAATTTAATACTCTTGGATGTAGTTCATCTGTTACCGGAGATTTGAATTTGTTTAGGATTGCCAGGTATTTCTGTACTACCTATTATGTATTTCCCCTGCTGAATCGTCTGTTCCATCTTCCCCAAGGTGAGCACAGTTTTCTTTTCTGTAGAAGACTGAGGCAAAGAAGTGTTGAGTAGTGTACTTCCTTTTCTATCCTTCCTTCAAGCATTTCATCATCTTTTCCACATAGTGTACTTTCTTTTGTTATAGACATAAAAAATACTCCAGTTTATATTGGGTTTGACCTCTTTAGCAAGTCTGGGCTAAGAAAAAAAGTGATAGTATTGGACTCATATCTCTGCATTTTGTATCACATGTTGATTTTGTTGTTGGTCTGGAGGGATTTCAATGCAGACAGAGGACATTCTCCTTGTGAGGGCCGAGACAAAGACTCAGTAAAATGTAAACTTCATTAGAATTGGTGAAGTAATGTCTCTTGCTATCTAGGATGTTTCTATGTATTGTCGAATGTCTTGCTATCTAGGATGTGTCTGTCTTTTGTGATGCCACAGGCCCCTTTCCTAGGCAAATAATTTCTTAAGTAATCTCTATATTGCTACATCTGGAAAAAATGTTTGGATGCTCAAACAACTACAGCCTCAAATAAAAGATTTCACCGTTGTTGGAGATGGAAACCTCATAGTTTAAATCCCAGGCTGTAGATCGCTTTTGTTAGCATATTTCTGGGAAGTACTGAAGTTTGCAGATCGATCCTGAAATTGCAACAAAGTATCTGGGGGTTCTTTCACACAGCCACATAACCCAGAATACCAAGGCAGATAATCTGCAATATTTGCTTTGAACTGGATTATCTGAGTCCACACTGCTATACATATAATCCAGTACATTGTGGATTTTGTACAGATATGTGGAAGGGGCCAGGGATAGCAACTGTAGTTTAAACATATTGTTTGGACAAAAGTCTGCTCATGTGCATTCTTGAAAGAATAAGTATTATTGAAAAAGAGAGTCAACCTAAAATAGTTCAGTAGTCAGGTTTGAAACCTTATTTAAAGTTTTTTTTTATTTTGGCCTCAGTAGAAAACACACCAAATTTGGTGATTAAGCATGTGGATTGCTATGGTGTTCGTTGCCAAATATTTTAAATGAGAATTTATACATCCCTGAGGACCATTCTGTCTCCTATTACATTCCTGCCTTTCTTCCTGCAAGCTCTATATCTCATGCAGGAATCCTTTGCCATAAATCACACCATCTCCTGATCTTAATATATTTCAGTTAACCAACTTTTCCTGCATATAAATAAATTAACATAAAGGTTTGTAGACATCGTTTTTCTTTTAAAAACTGTCAACAAACTCTTGAAAATGAAATGTGCTGACAACTATAATTGCAATAAATACATTGCAATTTACTATTATATGTCACATAATTGGTTATGAATTATGAACTCATCTAATATTAAGTAGTTTCACCTTTAGAATTAATAAGGAGTGGTACCAGAGTTAGCTTTAAAGGTGTGCAAAAAAATATCACACCCTAGATTTACTGATTGATCGAGGAAATAAATGTATGATCATTTTGATAGTTTTGGCGGTGGAGGCTTTTTTAAAAAACTGAGTTTTTCAACAGTGATTATATTTTCCTCACTGAAGTGATCTGACTAACTATCTGTCTATTCTATGAATTCCTTCAACTATAAATGGGACCACTAGTGAAGACTCTAAAATAAATAATAGTTGAAGTAAACGTGGCAGCTAACACATTGACTGAAACTGTCTATGGAAAATATCTCATCAGTATTGAATTTTTTATGTTTCAGTTAAAGCAAATTTTGATGGGTAAAGGGCCCAGGGATAGCAACTGTAGTTTAAACATCTGTACAGCTTTCAGCCTGCCAATCTGATGCCTGGCAAGTAAGGTTCATACTGTGTGTGGAGTCCTCTTGGCAGGTCACTTCACCTACTTCTGAATTTAGAAAGGTAGCAAATAGAAACAAGACATTTTATGTCTACACCTCGAAGCACTTCCCAGAAGAAGTAGAAGAAGAGAATGTATTGTCTAAAAGAAGACGTTTCATATATTCATACCCATTGCAATATTTTATCTCTGGTGAAAACTGAGCTCTGTTTTATTTGCTCATGATTTAATTAACAATAATGCTTTGATTCTGCTCATTTTAGTGCCAGGCTACCTTATTACTTTCTTTTATATATATCAGATAGGAATCTTATGTCATGATCCATTGCAATAATTCTGCTAGAATAAAAGCAATTATTTCAGCAGAACTGGGAAGACACAACACACAGTGAACTCTTGCAGCCCCTACAGATCTTCTCAAGATCTTTTCAATATATCACCCTGGAACATATTTTGGGTGACATAGTATACTTAAATGGGAGAAGGAGAAAGTTCAGTTGAGGTGGCATTCAGGCCGGGTGACAAAAGGAACCACCTCTTTCCCTTCACCTGCCCATTCCACTGACAGAACTGCTTCCACCCAGGGCAGTTCACTTTTGGATCCTTACCACAGACCTGTTATCAGGAAGTAAGTACACCGAACTCGGTGATATATCATATGTGTGTTTGTGAATCCTGGCTCATCCAGGGAAATCCACTAGTTGACCTTGAACATATCACTCTCAGCTTCAGAAGTATTTTAGAACTAACAATTCTTAATTTCAAGAAAATTTTCATTAATTTTTAAGCTTCAATTTACTAATCACTGGTCCAGCCTGCTAATTATTTTGATAGTAGTAATAGTAATAGTACAGTTAATTTCTTAATCACCTCTCCTCAAGGCTTGAGGTAGAGTACAGTATAGTTTAAATACATTTATAGCATTTATCCAAGAGCAGGAACAGCATGTCCCACCAGGCATACCTATGGACCAAGAGAAGGTGTTTTCCTGTGGATCACAGAATATGGGAGAGTTATATATTGGGAGATACAGTGTTATCAGACACAACACTGTATGTAGTCTCTAAAGAACAAAGCCTCTGCTAGCTACTCCTTAGTCTTTTGTCTAGCTGAAAGTTTTCAGTCGTAAAATAAACACATGAAAACAATGATAACAGATTACACAATATTAAAAACAGGGTTTAAAACAAAGTTCATCACCATGTCAGTTCATTTTACAGAATATAGCAGAATATCATATAAGCATGTAAGTTTGAAAGGAGGGAAGGTGCCTTCTCAGTTTCAGAAAACACCTCTCAATTAATATGAGAGCTGTGACCCCAACCTGGTTGCCCTACTGCTATTCTAACAAATTCAAACTATTCACAGTCAGAATGGGCTGCTAAATGACGGCTTCACTTTCTTTTTAACTGCCATGGCACTGGTTTTGGACATAAAATTAAGGTGTTAAGATAGGATTTTTTTTTTTTGTAAATGATATTGTTGGATATATTGATGGGGTGAGCTATCATGAACACTGGTAAGAAGTTCTGCAGAACCAAGAAACTATTGACATGAGCTTTTTTTAAGTTAGGGAAGGATCAAAAGTGATATGTATTATAAGAGTCTACAAATCACATTCAAAATCCAGTGCCATTCATGGAAACAGGTTGGCTGATTGAAATAGCTCTTTGTACTTCTTGCATACCTTCCACCTTAGAGCAATGTCTTCAAAGCATTCTCATCATAATATTTCACTTAATGTTCTTGGGATAATTGCTACCCCCCCCCCCCAAAGAAATTGAGGCTCAAAGTAGATCACAATTTAAAAGAACAGTACAATCAAAAACATAATAAAATGACAACATTAAAATAAAATTACATCATTTACAGTATTAAATCAATAAAAATGATGTCTTGCCATATAATCTATCTCATGAGGGAAATGGTTAAAATTTCATAAACTGCATAAACTAAGCTCCTTCTAAGTTAGATCTTCATGTTCTGTTTTCTATTCTACAGTATATTAGTCATGATTTCATGAATTCATGATTATATTAGTTTGTCAAGAAAGAATCTCACAGACAATTGAAACCCTTCGCCCTGATCTTTTAACAAGTTATTGGATAGTATCTCTCTGAATTGAATAATACTCATTTTTAGTAACTTTGCATAGAAGTGTAGCATAAGAGGCACTGGAAGAAAACTTCACATTTACAATTTATTAATGTTTGCTGAAACTAATTCTAATGGGAGTGTGTATAGCCATTTCTTTGAGGAAAAAATGGGCAATGTCAGTATATATCTTGGTTGTTTGTATGAATGATAAAAAAATGAGAAAGTAAAAAATGGCAATCACTTCAACCTGAAGACATTTTTTTCCTTTATATCAGAAGAATTTATCTTGCTAAACATTCATGCAATTGTTTGATTGATATGCCTAAATATTTGTATAATGCAAAAAGTAATTATCCTCATATTTTTCAAGCAGACTTACGCAAGCAAAGAGTTGGAGGAGCAGTTACGATCTGTATCCAGTGTGGATGAACTCATGACAGTACTTTATCCAGAATATTGGAAAATGTTCAAATGTCAGCTGAGAAGAGGGAGCTGGCAACACAACAGGGAATTGCCCAGCTTCGATGCAAAATCAGAGGATTCAAATCCAATAAAATTTGCCGCAGCTCATTACAGTCCAGAGATCTTGAAAAGTAAGTAAGGAATGTAACATCTATCTAATACTGTAAATCACATTGTAAGAATATGTTAGTCCTTTCATGTGTGTTTTATCATTTACACATGCTAAAGAAAAATGACTACAACATTTTTGGTTAATACATTATTTTTATGTTCAGCATCTCAAACCTTCCTAATAGCAATAGATGATATAAGAGTTTATAGCTTTTTGAGCTGTGTTTAAAAATTACAGTGATGGATGTACAACATCTGGATACACATTAGTCCAGGTTAAAGTGTTTTCTAGGGCAGATCAAGCATTTTAGGCAGACACTAGAGAGGTGAGACTAAGCTTAAGAGACCACAGAGAATTTAAGGAATTGTTCTTTGGTGAACATTTTGGCATTTTGCCTGACAAATTGTTTAGATCAGATAGCTTGATAAAAATATGAGCTGATGTCAAAGAGGACTTGTCCCTCAGTTATATCTAAGTATATTTTCATCCATTTCCAGCTCCTCTTACTATTCCTGATTATTTTTATTACACAAATTACTTATGGGACCCTCATATAGAAAAGGGCTATCTCATTTCAGTTTGGGTGGGGAGATACCTAGATTTATGTCTGTGGGAAGTGACAAATGGTAAATGTCTGGCTGGCAATAGCCCAGGATCCAAATTATTTCATCCTGCCCTTGTTTGTTTTGTAATTTTTATGAGGGCACATATATGGGTTCTGCAATTTAGCACCATTTGGGGAACTTTCTAAAGCTCAAGCCTAGGAGCTGAGGTTCAGTGCCCACTCCCACCCTAAAATCAAGAGAAATGTTCGTCAAAATTGTTATTTACCATGAAGGAAGAGAGTATATGTTTTCCCTCATTTAGTTCTCTTTTTGAGAACTAAATGAGCAACATCTTGGAAAATGTTCTCTAATGAAATTGTTCTTCATTGCGTTTATGAGCCTTTTATGCTTTCATTTGCTTAAAGAGTTTCTGCTTGTTTTTTGTTTTCTTTTTTTTAGAGGATGGTCACTATGCACTTTGCATTTGGGGTGGAGAGACGATTGCCCCTGCATTTTCTTAATGCAGCTGGTCTCTCCTCTAAGAAGTACTGAGACTAGGAGTAAATTTCAGACTCATGGCAATGGCCTAAAGTTTGTCTAATCTATTCAAGGATTTGTGGTTATTACTTCCTAATCACAATTACGGAGGCCATCGATGCACATTGGGACACTAGTTAGGGAGTATCAATACCCATTGGGACACTCTTGCTGGTGTCCTGTTATGCATCTTCACAATTAATTTCCAAAGTTTCTTAGTAGAGTTTCTCTTTAACTAAGTATACATAAAGAGAATTCAGAGCAACCTGTGCCTTTATTTCATACTGTTCAAGGTTGCCTTCACTCGAATCAGTTCTGTGCATTGTTTAGCCTCCATTGAGCTGATCTTCCCTTCAGGCCAAGTGGGCAATGTAAATGTGCGCTTGGAAGTGACAGTGAGGACTGACTTTGTTTGGTAGAACTCTCCTCATTTTTTTTTCATTCTCAGTGTGTCAACAGCCAGTTTGCCCTATGTGTGCCTGAAGAATAAGAACAGGTTGCTTACCTGTAACTAATGTTCTTCAAGTGATCATCTGTGAAGTCACACAATCCATCCTCCTTCCCCACTTCAGGTAACTCCCTTCCTTTGGTGGGATATTCCCACAGCAGTCATGAAGGAAATGAGTTTACATAATCCCCCTGAGGATTACATAATAGTAAAATCTCTACTTTTGGAGAGTAGAAGCATGAGTTTCAGCTTTCAGACTTGAGCTCTAGAAATTTCTAGGATGGAATACATGCCCAGACCTATTTTTGTGACTGCATATATGATCACTCAAAGAAGACCGGTCAAAGGTTAAGCAACATGTCTGAAGAACTTTTTCAATAAAACTATATCTACAGTTGTTACAACCTTGTTGCAGAACAATTTAGTACGTGCTACAACAGAGTAAATATTTAGTTAGTTATTACAAATTAATATGTAATTCCTCATCTCTGAAGACCCGGGGTCTCCCTCTTTTCTTTTTTGCCTTCGACACTTTTTTTTAGTTTCTGTGGATTGTCCTCTGCTAACTTTCTCCAAGGTTTCTTGGAACTATTTTCTTATTCCCTTCCCTTTTCTTCTTCTCAAGCTTCTACTCCTTCTACCATCTCACATAGCCCCTCCACATGCCTCACTCTATTTTTCGATCAGTCACTGCATTAACTGAATTTCTGCTCTCCCTCATAAGAAATTTTTCTTGGTGAATCAAGTATATTACTCTTAAAAAGAATTCTAGTCATAAAATATCATAAGTAGGAGTTTGTACCTTCAACAGTGTTCACTTAAGGAAATTATATTTCAAAACAATCCATTTCATAACCAAATGTCAACTAATTTTAGGGGAACCTGGATTATGAATTATTAAAAAACCCTACTTTATAACCTATGAGCTTTCCCTGTAACTTGGCAGGTATTGATAATGAGTGGAGGAAAACTCAATGCATGCCACGTGAGGTATGTGTAGATGTGGGGAAAGAATCTGGAGCAACAACAAACACCTTCTTTAAACCTCCATGTGTGTCCATCTACAGATGTGGAGGTTGCTGTAATAGTGAAGGTCTGCAGTGTATGAATGTCAGCACAAGCTACGTCAGCAAAACAGTAAGTTGTTACTATTTTTCATTTATTTTCTTGTTTAAATGTCTGCATATCGTTCAAATATTTATCATTCAAATATTTATTACTATTTTGATGTGTTTAAAGGGAATATTATGTTAGGTTGTATAGCTGTGAAGTATAATGTGTGTATATTTGCCCTTGGTATGTGATATGTTTATCGTTATAGATTACATGCAACACAGAGTTGCATACATAATTGACTAGAGAAGGGGAAGTACAAAGAGTAGTATAAATGTGAAGGTTTTAGGACACACAGATGACCCATATCATCTTCTGTTCCCTCAATATCTAAGTATATTTGACTTCGCAGACAAAGTCGCTTTGATCCGTTCTAGTCTGGACACCATGTTAAATGCAGTCTCTGTGGATGTAACGAGAGCACCTGCTTGTCCTATTTTGATGGATTCATTTCAATTGGTGAAGCCCGAGGATGTGGACAAGATACTTGGAGGAATGAGGCCGACCACGTCCATCCTAGACCCCTGCCCATCCTGGCTTCTAAAAGAGGCCAGAGGGGGATTGGCTGAGTGGGTGGAGGTGGTGGTTAATGCCTCCCTCTGGGAAGGCAAGATTCCAGCGAGCTTAAAACAAGCTATAATAAAACCGCTGTTGAAGAAACCATGACTAGTTCCCACTAAATTTGACAACTTTCGGCCGGTTTCCAATCTCCCCTTTTGGGGCAAAGTCCTGGAAAGCGTGGTGGCCTCACAACTCCAGGTATTCTTGAGAGACACGGATTATCTAGACTCGGCACAGTCTGGTTTCAGACCGGGACATGGAACTGAGACAGTCTTGGTCGCCTTAGTGGATGATCTGCGCCGGGAGCTCGACAGGGGGAGTGTGTCCCTGTTGGTGCTCCTGGACCTCTCAGCGGCCTTCGATACCGTCGACCACGGTATCCTTCTGGGGCGCCTTGCGGAAATGGGTCTCGGAGGCACTGTTCTGCAGTGGCTCCGGTCATTTCTGGAGGGTCGTTCCCAGAAGGTGTTATTGGGGGACACCTGTTCTTCCCCACAACCATTGTCTTGTGGGGTTCCTCAGGGTTCTATTTTGTCTCCCATGCTGTTTAACATCTACATGAAGCCGCTGGGTGAGATCATCCGGAGTTTCGGGGTACGGTGTCATCTGTACGCAGATGATGTCCAACTCTGTCACTCCTTTCCACCTGCTACTAAGGAGGCTGTCGAGGTCCTGAACCGGTGCCTGGCCGCTGTGACGGTCTGGATGAGGGCGAACAAATTGAAATTGAATCCAGACAAGACAGAGGTACTCCTGGTCAGTCGCAAGGCCGAACAGGGTATAGGGTTACAGCCTGTGTTGGATGGGGTCGCACTCCCCCTGAAGACACAGGTTCGCAGCTTGGGTGTGACTCTGGATTCTTCGCTAAGCTTGGAACCCCAAGTTTCAGCGGTCTCCAGAGGAGCATTTGCACAGCTTCGGCTCGTGCGCCAGCTGCGCCCGTATCTTGGGAAGTCTGACTTGGCCACGGTGGTACACGCTCTTGTCACATCCCGCCTAGACTACTGCAACGCTCTCTACGTGGGGCTGCCCCTGAAGACGGCCCGGAAGCTGCAACTAGTCCAACGCGCGGCAGCCATGATTCTAACAGGAGCGGAGCGCAGGGAGCACACAACCCCCCTGTTGCACCAGCTCCACTGGCTGCCGATTTGCTACCGGGCACAATTCAAGGTGTTGGTACTGGCCTATAAAGCCCTAAACGGTTCCGGCCCAAGATATCTAGCTGACCGCATCTCGGCCTATGAACCCACCCGGACTTTGAGATCTTCCGGGGAGGCCCTACTCTCGATCCCGCCAGCCTCTCAATCACGGTTGGCGGGGACGAGAGATAGGGCCTTCTCGGTGGTGGCTGCTCGGCTGTGGAACGCCCTTCCTGTAGATGTTAGGCTGGCACCATCTCTCATGACATTCCGTAGAAAGTTGAAGACCTGGATGTTTGTGCAGGCGTTTGAGTAATTCAGTGCAATTCTGGTAATTTGAACATAGGAACGGAACAATGGACGTCGAATTTGGATCACGCTTGGATGATGAGGCGATCGGGGGGGGGGCTTTGGGAGAACTGTGTATTGATGTTTGTATTAGCTAGTAATGGAGATGTGTAGTTTAACTGTTATGGTATATTGATTGTTTTGCTGCTTTTATTGTCTTTGTTGTTTACTGTCTGGAAACCGCTGTGAGTCGCCCTCGGGCTTGAGATACAGCGGTATACAAGAATAGTAAATAAATAAATAATAAATAGACAAGTCAAATAGGATAAATTGGGTAGCTGTACAATATATACTCAGAAACAAGATTCATTAAATGCAATGTGGCTTACTCCCTAGAACAAGAGTGAGAACTTATTGGCCCTCTAGATGCAACTATAACCAATTTAACACGTGATAAGGAATGCTGGGAATTGCAGTTCAGTTGCATCTGAAAGGACATGTGTTTAGGGTTGTATTCTAAAATTACAGAAATTAATCTCTCTGTGCCATCTATTTAGCAAGATCACAAGCACAGCCTATATGGCATTAGAATGGATTAAAACATGTATAACACTGGAGAAGAAAGACTTCAAATACCTTCCCCAAGAAGAGACAGCTTGACCTGAAGCAACAAATAATTACAGTTTAAATCCTGAGATATTGAGCAGGACCATGGTAAAATGAACAAATGTTTCCCAAACAATACCTTCCCAAAAGGATTCACTGATGACACTAGCAAGCAAACTATCCAATTCCTTAAAGTGATTTTCCATAGATTCTGCATTTGGATTTCCATAGGTAGCTACTGTGATAGTCAAGATACTGGACTGGATAGATCATCTGTTGCTGAAAGACAGCTTTTCTTGTGTCCTTTTGTTTACTATGGAAAATTACATAAGTAGCTTATAAAAAGCCAAAAAGACTGCAGTTATTTTAGCTATATTTAACAACTTTGAAATATACTTTGCTTTATTTTCCATAAACACAATAGATGCCAGGATGTGGCTGGGGATTGTCTTTCCACTTGGTCTGTTGTTAGGATATTTCATTAGACAGTGAACATTTTGCTCACATAAGAACATGCTATTTACTTTGGTATGTTGAATGTAATAGCATCAGCACAGTCAGCAATAAAAGTAGCCACACCTTAAGCCTCCTCAAATTTATCACAAATCACCCCATTAAACTAGTACTTTATATGGTTGAATGAATAAGGAATCTCAAAAATTTTAAGTAAAAGTTTCTTTATTGACCTTCATTTATTAAAGTTTGATCCATATGCATTATATTTTCAGGCTTATCTCTGCAACTGTGGTTACTAGGGAAAAATTAATCTTGGCTAGGAATTTTCGGATTGATATGGAAGTTCACTGATGGTACAATGATCCCTGAACTCAGTATGGAACAATTTGCCTACTGAGATTTTCATATCCCTGTGTCCTTCGGATCACTACAAAGATAAAAATATTTTTGTCCATGGCGTCCATCAAGGACTCACTCAGTGGGGAATACATTTCTCAGAATAGTTGGAGAGTATTTTCTCACAGACATAAGCAGACAGTTTTAATTGGCTTGCAGCAGTTGACTTACCATACATTATGTTCACACACACACACACACACTTTGGAAATATATGCTTTAGTGGAATGCTTGAGTCATTTGTGAAATATGAGTCTGTATTTCTCAAGATTTTTATCCTTCAGTACAATAATACTGGTGATTTAGTAAGTGTTCTCACCATTGATGTATGTATTAAATACTGTTCCTTTTAAAATATAAAATACCCTTTTAAAATATTTTGGTTTTTTATGTTTTTGCACTACATCTTGGTTTTATTGACATAATATGCAGAATATACATAAGTAGTAGGGGCTAACTTGTTATTTCAACTTAAAGAATAGTTTTGAGTTTTTATGTTATGTTTTAAATGGTCTTTTTAACTTATGATAATGTTTTAATTAATGTTTAACTATGTTTTTATTGTTGTTGTTGTCATCTAAAGGTTACTGGTTGTAAGCTGTCCTAAGTCCCCCTCCGAGGTTGAGAGGGATGGGATATAAATGTCTGAAATAATAATAAATAACATTATTTGGAAAAGAACAGTCCAATTATGCTCAGCACTTTTTGGTCGCACTGATTTCAGTGCACAGATATAATAAAGATAGGTAGATTAAACACAATTTTCCATCATGCTAATCAGATTTTTTTTTTATCGCTGTTATAAATATGTTTCTTTCCATCAAGCAATTTGCTCAGAGCTTCTGGTTATACACTGATTTTATACACTGGAGCATTACAAAAATATAAAAGATGGACAGTTAAGTTTATATGCTATTTTAAGAAGAGTGTGACAGGAAGTCTGGACAGGAAAATATAAAATAAATAGAGGGATTTAGCATAGACTCTTTGGGGGAGAGATTATGTTTAAAAGTGCTATTCAAAGTGATGGACCTTGTATTGGTGATGGCCCACATGCCATAGGCTGTGGATCTCAGGCATGTTTTCACTCAGCAAAGAATTGTGGCCAGCAAGCATAAATATAGTACCAGTTACTGGCACATTGGGGAGGGGGAGATTGCTGATCCCTCACTTTAGCTTGAGATGCAATATTAAATCTCCTTCAGTGTGTTTGTACCCATGTACAGCCACCAGATCCCCCTATCCCTAAATATAGCCTTTATGTCCAAAAAGCTTGAGGCCCCTGGTATAGAAGAATCAAATAAGGTACTGTATGTGTGAACGATCTCCAAGTGTTAAATCATTACATTGAAAAAAGTAGATATAATCATTAATAAAAATAAAGTACAACTGTGACAGCTCCTTCATATTATATAACCAACACACACAAACTAGAATGTGAATATGCTAAGAGGATTGTGTTACTCAGGAAATGAGTCATGTTTGCACATATTTTCTTTGCTTGAATTTATATAACCCTTGGTCATGGATGCACCACAACCCATGTATCCTATATACAAATTATGCACACTAAATTCTAACTAGCTAGAATTAGTTTTGCTTGTGAGTGGTATGGTAGACTCCATCAGTGAAAGATCTGGAATACTTTTCTGCAGTGTGCCATTTGCTACATCATTTGCCATCAATTGCATAACCTTTATTGGTGTCAAATGATGTAGCAGATATAAATGAATGCCTCTTGTAGACAGTGAGTGAGTTCAGTTTTAGAAGAGTTCACTATAACTAGCAGTATTTATACAACCCTATCAGTCCAGATCCTTCACATTGTGTGTTACACACATTGGCCAAAGTTACAAATCCCTCCCTCTTTTTATTTATTTATTTTGGTTGTAATACAACATGTCTGAAGCACACTGTAATTTGCCTGGCTGGGTTCTGTAGTTTTTTCTTCTATTTTAGTCAACACTTGTCATTAATTCTCATTGGGAATGTATATTATTGTAGTTGTAGTCAATCCTATCACAGGAGTGTACCTTTGCTCATTTTTACAACCAAACCCCACCCAGAAAGTATTGTTTGACCCTTCCCTCCACAGTTTGTTGATCTTGGAGTAGGGGAAAACTTTTTCAGGATTTTGCCTAAAAATAATTAAGACTAAAAACATTTCAATTTCTGTTTTTTAAAAAAAACAACAACAACAACACATACACCATAATGTATTTGATGAAGCATTATCTTCAGGTTGGGATTTCACAGTCTCGAATTGTAAAGCTTTCTTCTTGTTGTTCTCTTCCATCTTCTACAGTTATTTGAAATAACCGTACCACTGTCACATGGTCCAAAACCTATAACAATTAGTTTTGCCAATCATACATCATGTCGGTGCATGTCCAAGCTGGATGTCTACAGACAGGTTCATTCAATCATTAGGCGCTCCTTACCCATGACACAACCACAGTAAGTATTAGACTTGTATTGCTAGAAAAAGTATTTACCAAAGGGTTGACTTTTTTTGTATGGATTTTTTACTCTAAAGCAAACCAGTGACTTTTAAAAAAGTTAAATATATTGTTAATTTATAGGGGGAATTAGTAAAAAAAAGAACTGTAAATTTAGTCGCCTATAATGTGATTTATTTTATTCAAAACCTCATGCACATATAGGTATAATCAAAATTAATAAATTGTCATTTGTCATGGAAAATGAAAGGAGTGCAGAACTATAACTATAGGGAAATTTATTTAGTAAAACTAGAAATATAAGGTAAAGTTGTTGTTGTTGTTTTGGTTTTGCTTTATTTGAACAATGACTCCAATTCAGCAACATTCAGGTCGACAGTCATTACTCATGACTGAATATGAATATTTGACTTAGCTTAGTATCCCAAAATAAATAGGCTCAAGTCTTTAGGAGAAAATTCTGATTGATGTAGCCCTCGATATTATTATTGGTGGTGGTGGTGGTGGTGCAGTGGTGGTGATGGTATACTTATACCCCACTTTTTCTCTGCCAAAGGAGATGCCACACAGTTAGAATACATGAGTGAATTGTTTCCAGATTCTTTGATATCCTCATTTAAAAGAACAAAGTATTAGTCACTTACCACATCGGCCTAGCAATGTTCTGTGTTGCTGCAGACATATTTCCCATTGCTTGAAGCATTGCATTTAGGAGCTCCGTTCAAGAATACTGATCATCAATTCAAGAGAGGAATAAGGGACAGAGAACTAGAATAAGCTTTGTCTGCTCACTTCAAGTAGTAGAGCAATGCTTTTGTTGCTTATGTGAGGATATATGTATATGGTCATGACAGTGATGTGTAGTGTTACAGCATGGAGATGTGTGCCCAAAGCATCAATTTGTGCTTGCTTTGCATACATCTCAAAAATACACAACATGAGGAAAAGCTTTGTAAACCTGCTGCCTTTGCTAAACTGAGACAAATGTATTTAACATTCTTAATAACCCATTTCCATTTGGAACGATGTTGAATGAATAATGCCAATGTTGACTATTCTACATCTAACTTCTTCCTTGTAATGGTTTTATGCCTTTCTGAATGTTTGTCAGACAGATCTGTTTTTCCATTGGAAACTTTTTAGTAAAACAAAGCATGGCATTTTCATTATGTAGTGTACTAAATCACTGCCAGTGTCATGTTATGTATTCTGGCTTAAATTAAATTGGATATTCATAACCTAGGAAAATTTTTCCTAGCTTTGTCCAGACTTGGACAACAGATTGCACTGAATGTAAATAAAACCAGCACTTTGTAGGGTTAGATTTATGTATTGCAGCGTTTGTGATCTATGTACAGAAGCAATTGTCTTGCCTTTTCATTGTAATAAATCAATAGTATGTGTTATTCCTAGGTGTCATGTGGCAAACAAAACATGTCCCAAAAACCATATCTGGAATAATCACATTTGCAGATGTCTGGCACAACATGAGTTCAGTTTCTCATCCTACCTTGGTGATACTGGTAAGCAAATATGCTTTGGAAGTTTACATGTCTTTTCTTTTGCTCTTATAAAACTAAATCCAAAAAAACTTATTATTAATTATTATTATTAATATTAAGACTTCTTTAATAATTTCAAATTACTACTTTATAGAAAAGACACATTTTTTGTTTATTTGCACATTTCACTTTGTGGATAACAAATTGATTTAGATATGTGTAAGATAGGAGCCCCCGGTGGCACAACAAGTTAAACCACTAAGCTGCTGAATTTGCTGACTGAAATGTTGGCGGTTCGAATCTGGGGAGTGGGGTGAGTTCCTGCTGTTAGCCCCAGCTTCTGCCAACCTGGCAGTTTGAAAACATGCTAATGTGAGTAGATCAGTAGATAACCAGTTCAGCGAGAAGGTAATGGCGTTCCATGCCGTCATGATGGCCACATGATCTTAGAGGCGTCTATGGACAACACCAGCTCTTCGGCTTAGAAATGGAGATGAGCACCACCCCCTAGAGTTGGACATAACTAGACTTAATGTCAAGGGGAAACCTTTATCGTTATGTGTAAGATATAATTCATGAGCTCAAAACTGTGAAAGTAGCAAATGTGTTTTCCAGTTTTTGTAAAGCCTGGAAAATAATTTATTTTTATCCAATCATGCTGTGTATTCACAGATGCTGCTGAAGGATACCATGACATCTGTGGACCTAATAAGGAACTTGATGAAGAAACCTGTCAGTGTGTCTGCAAAGGAGGAGTGAGACCTTCCACCTGTGGACCCCACAAGGAATTAGACAGAACATCATGCCAGTGCACATGTAAAAACAAACTGCTGCCAAGCTCATGTGGATCCAACAAGGAATTTGATGAAGAAAAATGCCAATGCGTATGTAAAAGAACATGTCCTAGACATCAGCCATTAAACCCGGCAAAATGTATTTGTGAATGTGTAGAATCTCCAAACAAGTGTTTTTTAAAAGGAAAAAGATTTCATCACCAAACATGCAGGTAAGCAGAATAACTAAAATGTACTCTTTTCACTAAAAAGCATTGGGCAGAATTTCTTAGATTTCTCAAATTTACTCATCACACTGTATACTTAATCTCTGGCAGATGAGTCTGTCGCTAATCACAGAAAAACAGTGTTTAAAATGCTTCACTAGTTTGAAGCTTAAAACATGCTATTTTTCTATATTTGTTTTGTGGCCTGAAAAGAACATTGTGTTTAATCCATTCACTAGCCATAGGTGCATATATTGTTTCAATCGTTTCTATATAGGAATATCATACCAGTTCCTAAAGATCGCTGAATGCAGAGCTATGTCAAAACCTTTGAAACTCTTACTTTTTACCCACCAAATCATCTCATTCCCTGTTATTGCATACTAGATTGTATTGTCCCTCCATGTTGTTTAACATCTACATGAAGCTGTTGGGTGAGATCATCTGGAGCTTTGGAGTTTGATGCCATCTGTATGCAGATGATGTCCAACTCTGTTACTCCTTTCCACCAGATGGTAAGGAGGCTGTCCAGGTTGTGGGCTGGTACCTGGCTGTTGTGACAGTCTGGATGAGGGAGAACAAACTGAAGTTGAATCCTGACAAGACAGAGGTCTTCCTGGTCAGGCACAAGGCCGAACAGGGTATAGGGTTACAGCGTGTACTGGATGGCGTTACACTTCCCTTGAAGGCGCAAGTTCACAGCTTGGGAGTCTTCCTGGATTCACAGCTGAGCCTGGAACCTCAGGTTGCAGTGGTGGCTAGGGGGGCTTTTGCTCAATTAAAACTTGTGCACCAGCTGTGCCCGTACCTTGGGAAGTCAGACTTGGCCATGGTGGTCCATGCACTCGTTACATCCAGGATAGACTACTGCAACATGCTCTACATGGGGTTGCCTTTGAAAATGGCTCGGAAGCTTCACATAATCCAACAAGAGGCAGCCAGGTTAATAACTAGGGCAACATACAGGGAGCACACAACTGCCATGTTAGGTCAGCTTCACTGGCTGCCCGTTTGCTACCAGGTACAATTCAAAGTGCTGGCTTTGACCTTTAAAGCCCTAAACGTCCCCAGCCCTATTTACCTGTCCAAATGCCTCTCCCTTTACGAACCACCACAAAGACTAAGATCTTCCGAGGAGGCCCTGGTCTTGGTCCTGCCCCCGTCACAGGTGTGTTTGGCAGAGACAAGAGACAGGGCCTTCTCAGTGATTGCTCCCTGGCTATGGAACTCCCTTCCTGGCACTATTAGCTCAGTCTTCTCCCTCTTGTCCTTCAAAGATGGTGAAGACCTGGCTGTGGGACCAAGCCTTTGGGGCAGTGCAGTGAGGCAATAATCGAATGGTGTCCTGAGATGGTTTTTAAGCAATTTATTTTAAAGTGAATATAAGTGATTTTAATGTTTTTGTATATTTATGGTTTTATGTCCCGGCATGGGATGCTTGTTGTATATATGTTGTGCTCTGTCCTGAGTCCCCTATGGGGTGAGAAGGGCAGAATATAAATGTTTTAAATAAAATAAATAGATAGCACTTCATCTTCCTAAAACTTTAATAAAACCTTTTATTTCAAAGTGGCTCTATTTAAACCAAACCTTGTTGTATATCTTATATGCTTCGAACAATCAGCTAATTCAAATATACCAGAAATCTGCAGGGCACTGATCATGATATGAATGGTAATTAAATCACCTTGTTGCTTTCTGAGCATCTTGTTTTGTCTATTCATGTATAATAAAATATAAGCAGAACTGTTATTCCTATCATTATTATGATGTGATAGTGGATTGTGTTGGTGTTTGGATTCATTTGTGTCAGTTTCTGTGTTTTGCTTTTAAAGCAGCAATCTGGAGTCTTGGTTGGAAAGACTTTGTGGTTGTTTGAACCAAATTTTGTGCAAAGGATTTCAATTATGTACTGTGTAACTTGGGGCCTATGGTCTACCAAAGTAGTAGGTTTGGGTAAGATGGCATTAGGTGCATAGAACTATGCAAAATCAGAGAGAGCTTGCCCAAACCAGTGTTGGAAATGTTGTTTTCTTGAACACATAGAAGTGACATGCTACAATGAATTAAATTATTTTAATATCTGTTCTGAAAGGCAGTTTTGTTTAATTTCAATATATAATATACTTGCATTTTTGTCTTGTTTAGGATCATGATATGGATACGTATAAAGTCTGTTTGTCTGTGACAAATAAGGATTTGCAGCTGTTTTGAGTAATATACTCCAAGGCCCATTAACATGGGCCAAATAAATAGGGCAGGGGTGAAGGGTCAAAACTAGTTTACATAATGCCAATATGCAGTGAAACCAACAACATCATAGAAGCTTTGTGTATGTATTTGTTTGTGTGTGTGTGTGTGTGTGTATGTATATGTATGTGTATATATATATATATATATATATATATATATATATCTCAAAAGTTGCTTCTAAGCAGGCTGAATACCAGAAATAGACCATGGTGATAGAACTTAAATCTGTATTGGCAGGGATGAGAAGAATAGCAGGCAAGTGCAATGAGGAACACTGAAGAAAGCAGCAAGACACTGAATTTTCATATTATTTAGAGCAGTGGTTCCCAACCTTTTTTAAAAAATCAGGAACCACTTGACCATGGACCACTCTCCAACATTAGTTCCAAAAGGGTTACTAATCAGTTTTTGGTCAACTTTAAATTCTGTTTGGTTATTTGGGGTGCTGATTCAGAAAATTGCATTGGATAGACCACATCAGCTCTAGTTTCTGATACAAATCATATGCCATCCAGTAGTCACCATCTGCTCGCCCACAGAAAACCATATTTAATAAGCCTTGACACTATAAGAGGGTTTCACAAGTCTCTCTTGTTGCAACGGTGTAGTAACGGTGAGGCCGCGGACCATATTTTATTTCTTGTGGACCACTGCTTGATTGAGGTAGCAGACTATACCCTAAATCCTATTACTATTCCTGAATAGAGTAGACCAATTGAATTAGCGGAATTTGCGTGTGTAGATTCTCAATTTAGTGTTCCTACCATAGTTTAAATTAACCAAAATGAGTCCAGTTTATGATGCAGCTGCAGGATGCCTCCCTGAGAAATGTGGTATCTCTTTCCTTGCTGTTATTTAGAAAGTAATAAGGTATCATGTTACTTCATATGACTCAGAACAAAATCAGGGATTCTATAAACATTACTAGCACAAATCATTATCATGATCCATTCACATAATCAGGTAATAAGTTTACATGTGTGAACCTGACACATAAAAATACAGTAAATACTGAAAACTACCCTAAAATTATTATTAGCAAAAAATATTAACTTGTGAGCTAGAAAGAAAATATATCTATGTTAGAGGGATGGAGGTGATACTTGACCGGTTTGCCCTGTAACATTAGCCTGATATTGTGCCGGCAGCGATGTGTATAACTGTATCTGTCAGCAGTGAGCTGATCGATCATGATCCAGAACCCATGCATGGCAGTCAACCCTTGTTTCTGTAATCAATAAACAAGTTGTGGCCATTTTTCTTCCCAACTCTGTATTTGAGTCACCTTTGGTTCTGTCCGCGAAAGGGGTGTCGCCCATGCACGCGCAATAAGTTTACATGTGCGAACCTGACACATAAAAAGTACAATAAATACTAAAAACTACCCTACAATTATTATTAGCAAGAAATATTAACTTGTCATTTAGAAAGAAAATATATCTATGTTAGAGTAATGGAGGTGATACTTGACCGGTTTGCCCTTATCCTGAAATCACCCATGTCAATCCAGCAGATAAATATCATAGGAAAAAATGCAAGATGAAAACTTGTAGCTGAGTAAGTAATCCATCAAGAATTAGTTGTCCTCTTAGCCAAGGTTTTAATACATTACCCAGGATTACATCTTTGCTCGACAATTGTGTTTTAAAATTTTAACAGGCATGATGTAACTTGAGATACAGTAGTGTATGCAATGTACAAATGAGTCAAGCTAGTGTGACAGGTTATTTAGAAGATTTTGCACAAGACGTGGCAAGCTCCTGTATATTCCCCATTCTTTTCTGATTTCCTCATAGCTTTGTTAATTTGTTGAAAGAATTGGCTGTAATGCAACTATAATTATGTTACAAACTTGTTTGCAGAATCAAATCGTCTGCTGCAAACTCCCAGATGGAGGAGTAGTCGCTTTAATTTCCCCCCAAGAAACTGGAGAAAATTGTAATTTTAGTTTATGTAAACATAAACTAAATTTTAGTTTATGTTCTGCCTCCTATACAACTGTTTACACCACTATCCGACTTCTCTGGGCTTGGGCAGGCTAAGAACAAAAATAGTATTCCCATGTCCTGTCACTCTGGACTTTGTGGTGCTCATTGGTCATAGAAATCATTCTTGTCACCTCCCAGTGCCTATAATGATGATAGCCAGGGTGATGATATGATTGGAGAAGGAGGGTAGAAACAGGGAACAATTCCTTCTTTTCTTCGTCCCGCTCTCATGTTGCTTTGTCTCTTTGGCCATTGTCATTTAAAGTTCCAAGAGGCGAGCAGTGTTATTTTCATGCCCAGTAGGCACTGCAAACATTGGATGTACCCCGAGTGAAATGAGGAAGCAGGGGAGGGACCTGATGTGGATCCATGTATGAGGGCCCTTCTTCACATGCATTATAACCTGAATTAAATCGAGTTAAAAGGTTAGGTGGCTAAATGACATTTAGCCAAAAGGTTGGAGAAATCAGGAGGAATTGGGTTAAAAGCTGAAAAATATATGTAAAAGGCTGCCCGTTAAAGCTAGTTTCTCCTGAGAAACACCTTTCCATTCCTGTGTTTTCCTTCCTTCCCTCCTTTCTGGTCTCCCTTCTGCCCCTATTTCCCTCTCAACTTACTGAAGGAAGCCTTCCTTGCAGGTCTCCAGCCTTTTCCTCTATTCCCCCTCCCTGGAAGAACCAACAGGGAACGTTGGAGGAGAAAGCCCCCCTACCCTACCCAAAGCACTCCTTCGACTGTTCCAAGGGAAGATGAAATGGAGGGGAA